CTGCCCAAAAGGTTGCAGGGCCTTGTCTTACTCGTCACTTGTATTACTGCATCAATTACAAGATGGAATTGGTCAATTGATGTGGGCCCTATCCAAGTCATAAATGCGTTCCTGAAATTCGAAGAAAGAATTATAAAAAGTAAGTAAAATTTCATATTTAGTAAAGATTTAGTACATACTTAGTAAAGTTTTATTTCTAAATTTTTACCATATGATTTTATACTTTTGATCATTTCTGAAATCATTTGTATACCGTAAGTGCCAGTTTCAATTTATTGCACTGACTATATTTGGATATGTATGACTTAGAGTTCACTTAACTTACTGATCTCCATAACTTGTATCTTATTTACTTCCAGATCTACCATTCATGCCAATTTCAATGGGAACCAGGACAATGAAAATATTTATATTCTTGATACAAATATTCGAATTCGTATATGCAATTCTTCTATGGATCTTGCTACGATTCCTTCCCTGCACTCCTCCATTCATCTTGTCAATGTTTGAGAACTGCGGGGGTGCTGAGTTTGGTGGCCTGACGGAACTCGGGGTGCATATTTTCGAAACTTGGATGATTGCTCACATTCATTACTCTGGGACAACTTGGATTATACATGTTCTCTTTGTCGGAATATGTTTTATTCTGCACTACTTCCAACTACTGAGCAGGTTAAGACTCAACCTACGTAATTTCATAACAATATGTTCTAACGAACGTAGGCTGCAATAGGTCCAACTGGTGACCTGCGCAGCTGGATGTCTACCCCTATGGGTAGGTATCCTCCTCACATAATACAACGAACGTAGGAGAGTTCTATATGCACTCCCCGATAACAGGGACCTTGGTAAAGATTTGACACAAATAAGCCTGAGTATAGGACTGCTTTTATAAAACTTGTTTGCCAAAAGTACTACCGAATTACACATTCATTTTTTACCAAATCATGGTTGAGTTCACATAAACTCCAGCGGTTATATAAATACATTTACATCGATTTTGCTTGGATGGCAATCTGAAAATCGATGAAAAAGATTTTTTCGCACTAATTGAACTCAGTCATATCTAAATATTTCTAGTCACTGCAAAAATTTTGCAAAAAATATTAAGACTGGCTCTTAACATATATATTATTTGCTGAACCCTGCGGGACACCCATATCCAAATATCTCATTGTCGTCATTGTCGTTTATTACCTAAAATAATACCTCATTATTTTCCTCATTACCTTACTAAATTATTTTTAAAGGTTAATTAAATCAAATTAATTTAAGCACTTTATATTTAGAGAAATTTCTAAAATCGAAAAGGACACCGACATCTTCTCCTGCATTCGGCTCTACCGGTATGTCCAGGCTTTAGAAAAATCACTCAACGCCTATGTTACCAAGAGCATCGTCCCCGTCATACTAACTAGGGTTGCCGCGGGTAGCGAAAATGCTACCCGTTACCCGCTACCCGTTATGAGAATTAAGTTAAAACCTCACCAGCCACCAGAATAAATTCGATTTAATTAATTATTGGCTCATTTTGGTTGATATGTATTTTGATACAATGCTACGCAAGTAACGCATGCCATACTTTGGTATGGGAAAGTCACTAGATGTTTCTGAAACCAAACTTTTTGGCTTACAATGGAACATTTTTCAAACTACATCGGAATTTCTTAGCGTGTTATATCAAAATATAAATCCCAAAATTAGGAATTATCGATTATATTTCCCTTAAATAGCCAGTTTAAAGAAAACTATTGGGGGCAGAGTTCAAAGTCCACAATGGTTTCCGTCCAGTGGAGGAAAAACATGAAGAACATTTACTTAAAAATTGAACTTTGCCGACAATATTTTTCTTCAAAGTGGACATTCAACGGAAAGTATCATTCAACGGAAAGTATTCCTAATGTGTTGCTTGACTTATTAATATGTATACTCGTTAGACAATCTTGGTGTAGCTTGATCAAGGTTCAATCCATAGTTTGGTTTTTTAAAATTTTGGTATAAATGAAGTTTTCATTACAAAATTGTATACAAATAACATTATTGCTTTCAATCAGATTCAGGTTTTTCACCTTTAAAGTATAAATTAAAATCTCATCAGTCTTACACAAAAATTCAAGTCAAATTATTACTCATATTTTAGAGCAGGCAAATTATGGTTGAGAAACAATAATTTCTCCGCATTTTCGGGGCGTGAAAAGTATTTGAGACTGCCGTAGGCTTCTGTGGCTTCCGAAAAGACAAGCTCGTTATACACCCTAGCTGTTGTAAAATGGCAAATTTTGAAATGGATAAATAATAAATTGACGCTTTTGTTGGTAAATGGACTAATTTGCTGCTAACTTACTTTGTGAACTGATTTATGCCGAAAATTAAATAAAAACAGAACTACCCGTTACCCGTGCGGGTAGCTCTCGCTACCCGCAGATAACGGGTATCCGCAAGAATTGTGCGGGTATGCGGGTAACGGGTACCCGACCCGTTACCCGCGGCAACCCTAATACTAACGTCATACTAGCATTCCTGCCCTTCAAATCTTCGGGTTGTATGTCTGCATCAAACTTCATGAAAAAATTGCCCTCACTTGATTCGCCATATTTGTATTGCTCGCCATTGCTGCAACGACACAACATTTTCGTCATTACTTTGGCATCCAGAGTAAACGCATCTTCAAAAAGAGTACTAAAAATACTATCGGGAAAAATCGTTGGCTTTCGTGGAGCAGAAATGAGACACTTGCGAAGAGAATTGGCAGCATGTGGAGTCTTGAAGATCAAATTCGGCAATAATTTCATCGACAATGGAACACCTCTGGTCATGCAAAATTTCTGCATTAATCAAACTTTGTCGCTTTGCATGGTCAAGGATGGAAAATTGGTGAATTAGAAGGCACTCTCATGTGTATATTCGATTGATCTCCCAAAAATGCTTTGGGCATGTATGAATTCACGTTGTAGTTTGTTGAGCATTAAATTTTAAATTCGACATTCAGAAAAATTATTTATTATTCCGAGGCACCTCTTTGTTAAGCGTATTAAAGAACGTCCGGGAATGAATGGGAATGCGCGCTCTAGCGAGTATATTGACAAATCAATAAACCCGCGAACTATAATAATTTAAATTTCTGAAAGCCCACTTCATTAGGGTCAATTTGGTATATCACTCTTAAATTTCAAAAATGGATAAGGGTAGAAGAAGCTTGTTTGAAAGGGAGCTGTTAGCAAAACGAGTGATGGAGTTCTACAACACGACAGCCAACCGAGACTCCAAGGTGACCTGGAACTTTTTTAAGCAGGAAGGAATTCCAAGTTCAAATGTGTATTCCTACATAAAAAAGTTCAAGGATTCCGAAAATGTGCAATTCAAGAAGCCAGCTGGTCGTCCGGCGAAGCTAGCGACCACTCGAGTGAAAAATAGAATTGAAAAAATTTTCAAAACCAAGCCATCAACGTCAGTAGCTGTAGCTGCCAGGAAAGTCAAAATTTCCAAAAGCTACCTGGGGGAAATTAAGGTCCATAAATTAGGAATCAAAGCAAGGACCAAAAAACCTGCACCAAATTACAAGCCCGTACAAGAAAGTCGGATCAAGGATTGCTGTCAAAAATTGTTGAAGAAAATGCGTGGAAAAGTAGTGATCCTGGATGACGAAACGTATGTTCCGGTTGACCCTTCAAATCTTCCAGGGCGTCATTTTTTTCATAGCTCGGATCCCTCTGAAGTGGCTTATGAAGAAAAAGTACGAAAAAAAGACAAATTTCCAAAGAAATATTGCATTTGGCAATGCATCTCCAGTCACGGACATGTATCAGACCCGGTAGTTCTCGAAGGGAATATCAATCAAGATATTTATCTGAAAAATTGCGTCAAGGCTGGATTGGAAGCATTTATTAATAGGTTTCACAAAAATGATAAAGTTTTGTTTTGGCCTGACCTCGCCACTTGTCACTATGCAAAGAAAGTGACCGAGTACCTCAGAAAGAAAAATATTGATTTCGTACCAAAAGATATCAACCCACCTAATGTACCCCAACTCCGCCCAATCGAAAAATTCTGGGCACGTTCTAAGTCAGTATACTCCCGGCTTCAAGATGTGCCTGACACCTTTCGAAAATTCAAAGGACGATGGAAGAAAATCACCTCGGAAGTGGCAAAAACTTCGGGAAAAAATTTAATGAAAAATCTTCGCAAGAAAATCGAACTAGTCGCCAACGGGGGTGTGGCGGCCTTAGCTATTAATTAAATTATGTAGGTACGTATTTGGTATTATACATATGCAAAAAGTTTAAAATTCCGATAACTCATTGTGATTTTATGACCACATTTTCAGACCATTCCCATTCATTCCCGGACGTTCTTTACTTGGATGACTGGGCAATTTATAATCTATTTATGCATACATAAACCATTCCAGGTTATGTGGTTATATAAAAATGATGAATCAATTACATATCATTCGTTAATAGACAAATGTACATATACATATCAATTTGTTCAATATTTGCAATCGGTACACAGCACAGTAATGAGGTCAATACTGATACCAAGATAATATGCAAAGATACTTCTGGGTGATCAATAAATTATGTGACACTGCAATAAGCCAGTTTTTTCTATTGCCCATTTAAGAAAGCATGGCTTCATGCACAGACTTGGCCTTGTACAACAGGTCAACACTAATAATAAATCCCACTTATGTAGATATTTTTAATTGATATTGATAATATCTAAATTTCTGCATAGCTTAATCCCCCTTCGGGGCCATCCATATATTACGTCATAAACTTTTTTAGATATTACCTAAGCACCCAACATATACATTAAGGGATAGGGAATTTTAACATGGGCAGGATAGGAAGACGTAAACCACCCATCGACTAAAATGATGACGTAATATATGGACGTTCCCTTCTGGACTTGCCTGCATATAACATCATTCATTCCACACGACTTATATGCATGCAATTTTACATAACCCGTGCATATGTACATAGTGGTATGAAACATTGACCAGAATGTGCGATCGGCCAGTGCAACTTCTTCTTCCAGCAGAACATGTGTGTTATTGCAAACTTGTAAATTTCTTAAGAGAACGTTTAAATCAACATTTTAAAGTATTTCGACCTCTTAACCAATACATCAAACTCGTAACAATATTCGCATATTTCAGACGTAGGCAAGTTAGTTTAAATAAGCAAACAAAAATGTCATACGAGAAGTCCATTCATAAGATTCTTATATTAAAATTAAATGTGCTCAGCAAACCATAAATATTTGTTCATGAAGAAAATAATCTATTATGTATTTAACTGATTCCGAAGTACATCCTTAAAAATAATGTTACTTTATTGAAAAGTGCATGCCGTCTAAATTCCTTATTATGTTAACAAAGAGTAACGGTGAATTGATTATGGGAATTTTATTCCAGATTTAGTCTAGTACAGTTGATTACAATTTTGAAATTGCTCATTTGCTGGACAGAAGGGTAACATTATTTTTGAAGTGGCAACTACGTATGTAGCTCAATTAAAGAAACAAAATAAAAAAAATGAAATAAACCTTTTCCAATATTTCTCATAAATCGCTTCCAAACCATTATGATTTCACTAACTTATTAAAAACAAATTTCAGTTTGTCATCATGGCGACACCTTCACCGGAAGATCTTCCCGTACCGGAGGACGACGGAAAATGCGACCATTTAGTCCCAGGGACGCCAATTCCACCGATAAGCTTGCCAGCCACGGATGGCTCTTCCGTCAATTTATCCACTCTTTCCGGCTCGACGGTGCTTTACTGCTACCCACGCACGGGAAAACCGGAAGTTCCTTTGCCGGACGGATGGGCCCTTATCCCTGGCGCGATGGGGTGCAAGCTGCAAACATGCTCGTTCAAGAATCACTTGAAGGAACTCCAAAAACTTGGGGTGACTCATGTTTTTGGGTTATCAACACAGGACACGGCTTATCAAGCGGAAGCCTGGCAAAGGCTCCATTTACCATTCAACTTGTTGAGCGATGAGAAGAGGGAATTTATTGAGGCGTTAAATCTGCCAACTTTCGAAGCTCCCGAGTGTGGAGTGCTGGTCAAACGGGTCACACTGGTGATTAAGGATGGGGTAGTTTTGAAGGTGTTTTATCCCGTGTTTCCGGCAGATAAGAGCGCCGAAATTGTGGTTGAGTGGGTGAAGAAGAATAAAATTTGAGTCCACAGAACGAGGTGGAGATTGTCATGCTATTATTTTGCGATTGGTTTGTCATGCCCCAGATAACAGGTCGCTATGAATTCGCTTAGAGAATTCGCAGAGAATGTCGCGTTAAAACAGAGAACTCGAATTCTCTCAGATTTCGTTATTATTCTCGTATCGAATTCGCATCGAAGTCGGTAATTATTCGTATCTAAATTCGATATTACGCTCATTTCAGAATTCGTAATGAATTAGACTCGAATTCTCAGAGAATTATTCTATCGAATTCGAAACGACTTCACTATGAATTCTTAAACGAATTCGCTGTTATTGTAGTGAGGAATTCTCCCCGATTTCGATAGGAATTCTTCTTACAGGAATAGGAGACTATAAACTGTTCGCCTTGAATCTCGAATTCGTAAATAATTCTTAGAGAATTCACTGTGATTTCTCTCTTTCACGCTGTTATTGTATTTTTAAGTAATTTTAGCTGCCACATTCAAATCTTTCCTCATGGGAAGGAGACGACTTTTTCAGTTGAGTGCTCGCTACAAAAGAAGACTTGTAAAAACACCAAGTGAAATTTTCGAGGAAAATTTCGATAGTGACCTAGTCCAGGCCGAAAGGGAAAACATTTATTCCGAACAAGTGTTCGAGGAAGATCTGGAAGAAATTGAAGTCGGAAGTAAGTTCAGCTGAAACTATTAACTCAGAAAGTGAAGGTGAAATTGATACTTTTGATATTAGACATAGTATCCAAAATTGGTCCCTTGAATTTAAAATTCCTCATAATGCAATCTCATTATGCAACACTCTAAAACATTTTAAAAATATGTTAATCTCAGATGCGGTAGCAGCTCACCCAAGGACTCCAAATTATCCAGACGAGGGCACAGTTGACGAAGAAATACAAAAATCTCTTAAGAAAGTCGCAGATAGAGTTGGGAAGCGTATGAGGTACAAATATATACTATCGATAATAACTGTTGCAAAAGATTTTAGGAATAACATTAGTATATTTTCAATAGGAAGTGACTTAACGTCGCGGCCAATTTCAGTACCAGGGTCATCTGATTATTCAACTTATGTTTATTTTAATAGAAACAGTTATGTATATTACATAATATTTAGAATAAATCAAATAAACTATAAGCTGGATTAACTCGAAATATAGCAGAAATCGTATTGATTTATTACTTAATTCGCAGTGAATTCGTATAGACGTCGCATTAAATTCGTGGAGAAGTCGCATTGAATTCGTTTAGAAATCGTTATAAACTCTTACATGTTCATCGAATTCAAGACGAAATCGCGAAGACTTACCGGCGAAATCGATATACGATTCTCCATCGATTCCCTGTCGAATCGGCGGACATTTCCCTTCGATATCTCCTCGAATTTATCTCGAAAGTTGGAAATTCGAGGCGAATTCGATATCGATAGCAAAGCGAATGTAATATCGAAACATAAGAGAATTCAGAGCGAATTGTTATCTGGGGCATGATTAAATTTGTCAAGTCAATAATAAATTAATTGAAAAGCAAGCAATCCAGTTTCTGTGTTTTAGCATCCGTGTAACTAATTCAACATGCAGTATAAATATACGAATGGGTTTGGTTTATAATTGAAAAAATAAGATGAACAAAATGTAGAACATGAGCATCTTCATAACATTGAAGATGTTCATACGTGTCTTGTTCATTGCAGGGATGGAGGGCATACATAACACTTTAAACTATTATTATTTGGTAAAAAAAACTTTACATATATGCAAAGTTCGTTTTTACAGAAAACGCATATTGTGTGATTGGTTAAAAAAATATGCAAATATGCATATATGTATACCTGCGGATATATGCGTGTGCACATATTTCCGTTTATTTGTGCGGGTCACCTTATTTGCAGCACTTGCATATATAATCGATCATGTAAATGTGTATGCTTTATTAGCATTTTATGAGTATTTAGCATAATTTATTTACTGGCAAATAATGTTACTTATGAGGAATTTTGACAAAATCAAAATGTTTGTACAGCTTGTTTTATAAATGCGTAGTCCTTGGTAAATACATAAATATTGAGATGGTGATCCCATAAACCAAATAAAATTTTGTTCTTGGTCTTAAATTATGCTAAACTGAGCATTTCAAAGTTGACCAAGAAATTTTTAATTGCATTCCATACACATAAATATTGCTACTATTCATATTCAAATTTGAGTGGATCCTCTCCATAGTCGTCATCATCCGAAGAATAGGAATTATTGCCGCCAAAAGTTAACATTTTAAAACCGACGTGTTCACTTTCCTCGTCCATATCGCTGTTGCTCTCCTGCTCAGATTTAATCTCGCCGAGCGGAGATAAATCAAGATCACCGTAGGATTCTTCATCTTCAGACTTGATCTCAACGTTTGTCCCGTAATTGGGCTTGTCGTCGTCGTCGTCCTCGGAAGAAAGGACGTCTCGGATGGTGCAATCTTCTTGCTTAATTTCAATTTCGTCATCTGGAATATGTTCGATTTTTGTACGGGATCGCGTCATTCTCCTCGATGATGGTTTGGATTGAGCAGGAAGGCTGAAATAATGGAAATGTAGTTACTATTTGAATCTTGGAAAAGAAATTTTATAACAAAAATATTTTCATTTTGATTAGGGAACGTCTATAAATTATGTCATCAAAAGGTGAATAGTGGGTTTTACGTCGCCTAACTCGCAAACAGTTTCATCAGACGTGGGTAGGGGCCGTCCATAAGTTACGTAACGCAAAAATCGCTATTTTCTAGACCCCTCCCCCCTTTAACATGTTTAACATATCATTGGAGCCTTAGACGGCCCTTTTGCATTACGTAATTTATGGACGGGCGGGTCAGTGCTTTCAGTCGGATCCGTGTTTTCAGAAATCCGATCCGATCCGTTTTTCGAATTTTTCAAAATATCCGATCCGACCAGATTTTTAGATTGAAAAAAAAATCCAACGAGCAATGTGCGACTTCAGGTTAGGTTGGGACGTAAAACGGAGCGAGGAACAGGACGGATCTGTAAAAATAGGACGCTTTTAGAGGAAGATGTACGTATACATACTCTCAGAAATCCAGTACTAAAATAATACCAGCCGCTATTGGTATATTTATGTATATACCAAAATTGTACAGAAGTGTTACCATAGCTGCAGCAAATTGTTACGGACCGGTATAAGTTTCATACCAAATGGGTATAATTTTAATATGAATAAATCAATGCATGCGTCACCACACCAGATTTCTAGCAAGTTATCGTCCGCTTAATTATAAATCCGGGCAATTGTGTGTCAACCCCAAAGAAATTTTATACACGGGTAGGAAGGATCCAATCCATGTTTATAATTTCGAGGAAGTTATCCGGATTTATAATAATTAGTCCGGATTTATAATTAGGATTACGACATTTCTCAAATTATACAATTTGTCAAATATTTTACACATATACGTATTTTTCTAATCTCACCAGGACAGCGCAGTCCGGCGCTACAATTTTCACCGGAAGGAAGATCAGATTCAGAGGTCTGATGCATCGTTTTCATGTGCAGGTTTAGATAAACTTTTCTCCCAAACTTGCGTCCACACCCGTCCCACTCGCAGTGGAATTTGGTCTTCTCCTCGGGCTTCTTATGCGTTTCGAAGTGGGCCTTGTACGCGTTGTGGAACACGTGGATCTTGCAAATCTCACAGCGAACCTTTGGCGACGTCCCGAGTCGAATGCTTTCCTCTTTTTCGGCCTCGTTCTTGTGCGTCCATTCGTGCTGAGCGTGACCGTAAACGGTGACCGGTCTGGCACAGATGCGACACGGAATTTTTCGGTAGGAAGGGTTTGAAGTGTCCGATTCTGCGTAGTCTTTGTTCCCTTTATAAATACAAAGAAATACATAGTTGTAGCTGTTTCTGTCATAGTTTTTAAACCAGTTTTGTAAATTGATCACGATTAACACGTGAATAAAGGACTAAATCAAATTAAATGAACCTTTGCAGCGGTTGCCTTGAGTGAGGTGCGCGGCGAGTCGGTCCTGCCCCGAAAACTCTTTGCCGCACTTGTCGCAGGGTAAGAAGCCTGCCCCGGACTGGATGGCGGCCTCTTTTTCGAGGGGAGATTTGTGCCCCCATAAGTGCGCGAAGATGTTGGACACGATTTTTCCGCAGAGGGTGCAAACGTGGGTTGGCAGCCGGCCCAGGGAATGCATCTTTTTAATGTGTTTTTGCAAACTGGAAGGGAAAATTTAATTTTATTAGGGATATTTCTCTCAGAATGGAAACTTTTTTGGGAAAAAAATGAAGCCAAAAATTAGGGATCACATGGAGCTTTTCTTCGCGTCGAATAATCTTATGGCTCTGGAGAATGCGTCAAAACCTGCAAATGTGGTGACTAGCACAAATAATTCACTCTACTTGGCACGTGGTTCGCATTTTTGGCTTGATTTTTTGGCATAACTCGTTAGAAAATATCGGTATAGCTTTAAAAAAGATTCCAGTGTGAGCAAATTTCTGAGAGAACATGAATACATTTTTAAAGATGCATACATGTATTTGGAAGTGTAGTTCTTTTCGCAGGGTTCACATCGAAAGGCGTCTGAAAATTGGGGCAATCACATTTTAAATTTGAAACAAAATTTGACCGACAAAGTGAGGGTGACAAATCTTATCAAAGTAAACAACTTACTGAAATGTTGCGATTTGACGTGCAATTTGATAATGTCCTTGCTGTTGTAATTTTTACGTGGTTGCGATTTCGCCACAAAACCGCACGCGAGGCAGGTGTAGTTTCCACTCTCCACGGCGATTTCATACCCTTCGTACATCTTTCGATTGGGGGCGGACGTGTCGATGAGACGCCGGCCGAACTTTTGGCGGACTTTCTTTGGCGATTCCTTGAGGGAAGTTTTCTCCTGCGGGGTTGGACGTCGGGGAGTCTTCTTTGCTACTTTGGAGGCAGGGTCAGTTTTTGCAATCTTACAAAATGGCGGACCCAGTTCGGCCTGGTTTCCGGTCTCGGGAAAAACGGGTTCGTCCATGTCGATGTTGTGGCTAAAGGTAAAAATAAAAAAATACTAATGAGCAGACGACGGGTATGTGCTTGCGAAAAATCGCGAAAATGTGTATTAAATATTTCGGATAAGATGCCAAAATATGTATTCACCAAAAGAATACTACTCGTACAAACAAATTAAGTCGGGCCACTACAAATCGAATTGTCAGATCGGGATTATCATTTTTTGAAGGTAATAATTTGAAATTGACCAGAGTCATAAAATTTGATTCCTAAATGCTTTGCATGCAGTTCGTTTCTTTTTCTTTACAACAGCAAACAATTAATAAATTGTCGCACAAAATTTATCTTAACAGAACAAAACATTAAATCTCAACCAGAAATATTTTACAAATCCATTCAACAATTTTGAACTTTAAACGCAAGACTTTAATTTAACTTTTCGTATGCAAAGTAAATACGAATATAATTAGAATAAAATTTAAATAAAAAAACCTTTATAGCTGCATACCGGAAATATCTCGTGTGTGAATTTTACTTTTTAAATAACTAGAATTCGATTTTTTATTATTTAACCCATGGTGGAAGTCTTCCCGGAATGAACGAACGCGAGTACACAGAGCGAAATAATCCAAAATTATCGGAAACAATTCCACGAGCACTTTTTTAATGAAATTTTTGCGTACTCCGAGTTGTTGAGGGTGAAGGCCAAACATATAAAAAAATTGACGAGCCACGCCCACTTTGGGTGTGGTTTTTTCCTGGTAGGGTTAGAGCCAAATGACATATCAAAAGTTGTAGCTCATGCGATGGTACATCTGCAGTAAAAATTTCATCTAAATCCGTTCACAAACAACAAAGATATCCAATGGCGAAACTCGGCGACAGTCAAAATGCGACGACTTTAGGGGCGTGGTTCTCCGAAAGGGGCAAGTACAATACTCTGAAAATTATTGTAAATTGTAGTCCCCACTGATCTTAACGAATTCAAAGAAAAACGGAGATCTTGATTCTGCCCCTTTCCAAGCTATAAGCCCGGGAACATTGGGAACATTCATGGCGAAATTGTCCAAAAAGGGTGAAATTTGACATGTCGTATCGCAGTAAAAATCGATATCTAGCTTCAGCCAGGTCTAAAAAGTGCGTCGCAGGTGAAATTGACCCATGTCGTCAGGGAAGCATGTCGACGTGTCGAAATTTCGACATGGAGCTAGAGAGGTGAAATTTAAAACTAATACTCCCCTGCCCTCCAAAGTACATATGCAAACACTTTTGATCATGTCGACACGCCATTTCGATAGAAATCGACCTTTTAATGTCCAACTTTGAAAATGTAGATATTGGTTTCAAACTCAAAACTCGTGCTCCACAACTTAAGATACCAACATGTAAATTAATTTTGACTCATGTTGACGACTTATTCTTGCGACAAATCATGTCGAAAGTTTAAAAATGGTTTCTTCCATTGGAATAAACAAAAGCATTTCTCCGTAGTACAATATACTAATAAGTATATTGTATACGTTTAAGTTTTTCGGGTTTAACCAGTTAAGCTACTCATCAACACGACATCGCCGCTGCAAGAGTAAAAACTGGCGTATACCGCTTCAACAGGTAAATGACCCAACCACTGTAAAATTATTAATTTATTAATTTATTTTGTGCATTTGTAGAAATCTGGTACGAATATGAACGCAAGGGGACAAGAATTTCCCCAATCTCTTTCTTACGCTGCCATGGGCGAATTTATCAGGAACTGATCTGGACATTATAAATATTACTATATTCTTCAGTTAGGATCAATATCTCTTCGGAGACCACTCTCACGGATGGACATCTGCAAACGAGTACCACTTGCGAGGACCGCCGTGATGCCAAGCGCTTTAGACGTCATGGGCTGGGACACCGTGTCAATCATCAAGACACCGTGTCGACCCTCAGCGAGTCCGCCTCGCTATAAGGGCGGCCCCCAAGGCACAACTTATACAAGTTTACGCCGCGGTGCATCTTATCGGACTAGATCAGCCATCAGCTAGGCTTTTCAGTTCGAGATCGCAATACCGCCCAGCTGAGCTGGAAGTGACAGGAAGAGCTCTGGGTCCATCTGAGGTAATTCTCAGAGTAGGTGGCTCACGGCCCGGGTTTCATTTCCAGTTCAACTGGAGCCGCCTCAGGGAAGTTGTGCACTTGTGGTGAAACATTTTTTATATTAAAAAAATGATTCATGACACCATGTGAACCATCAAGACACCGTGTCAACTGGCGTCAAAGGGCGAAGAGCCCAATCCTGTTAGGATTCCTTGCGGGAGGACCGGGAAGAGGCCCCAGACCTGTTAAATAAACCCCGGTTCCGTTTGTACCCCAAGGAGGAGCAGGCAGGTCTGAGCTATGGTCCCGGGCACATAAACATTACGGGCCGGAAAACGTGTAGATTTTGTGAGTAATAGAAACAAGTTAACTCTAACACTTTATAATCCACAGGGGTGGTTCCCCTTCAAGGACACTGTGAGAGCTTGTTACAAATTTGTTAAGCCCTTGTCTCGTTAGGTGTTGTGGATTTTTCGCAAAAATGGAAGACGAACGAGGTGTGGAAGAGAGTGAAGAGATCGGCGGGGTAACACAACCGTTTGTAGGGATGGAGATGAGCTCTAACGAACCCATGAATAGTTCCATAGGCGGCCATTCTTCTACTAATGATTGCAGTTCAACAGCAATGGGTAGCATTCAAAAATCAGCACTTGTTGACATATTTAAGTCAGGTGACCTTGACTTTTGCTGCAAAGCGATCAAGAAAATCGTTGGTGCATCAATGAAACCGAACCTCTCAGATGAAGAAGAGCAAAAGTTTAGAGATCTAGTCTGCAATGAAAAGTCGACATTTAAAGCTCTTTGGCAAAAAGCTAATAGAATGACTGATCGCTTTACACAAAGACATGGGACGTACCTTCAGTCGACCTTTGATCTTCCTACCGAACTTCGAGCTACCTCTGGAATGGGCGTTGTGGGAAGACCTGCAGTAGAATATTCTGCTTTGGGCGTCCGACGTAAAAGAACAAAAGAGAAGGAACTGTCTGAGCTTCTCATTGACGAGCCCAGAGATAAAATACTCAAGTCTGTGACGCGTGCTCTTGAAGGAGATGATCCAACGGACAAAGACTTACGGGCGATAATAAAAGAACTTTTGAAGAGCCCTACCCGTCCATCAAAAATTCGAGAAAAGCTGAAAGCTGCTACACCATCGCCAATGTCGATTGAAGAAGCCGTATCATTAATGATAGATTCCCGGATGCCTGTCAGTACGTATGAAATGCTTAAGAGATCGGCCGACGCGCATGACTTTTCCCTGTATCCTCCGTACTACTTGTTGCGCAAATACAGGAAGGACTTCTGTAGACCAGCAGAACAGTTGGAATTGTCAGACACATTAGCTTCAGTTTCTTTGCAAGCCTTGCTTGATCATACGGTGGATCGAATTTTCAAACTTCAACAAGAACCACTTTTACAATTTGCAGAAAAATTGAAGAATTCTACCCTCAAACTGCAGTTAATAGCTTCGTGGGGATTTGACGGCAGCACAGGTCAATCCCAATATAAGCAAAGATTAAATGCTAATGAGAATGCGACTGATTCAGGCATATTTGTTACTACCATGATTCCTCTACAGTTGCAAACTGAGGAAGGTAAAATAGTTTGGAGGAATCAGGCTCCCCAATCTGTAAGATTTTGTAGACCACTAAGAATCCAATTCCTAAAGGAAACTGAAGATTCTATTCATGCTGAACGAAATTGGGTTGACTCTCAAATACGAAATCTGGTAGCCCACTCCATAACGGAGAGCGGCCTCAATTAAATATTCCCTTCATTTGACAGTCATTGATGGAAAGGTTTTAAGCATTTTGTCTGGAGCTTCTTCGCATCAAGTGTGCCCAATTTGTGGTGCAACTCCATCGGAGTTTAACGTTTTAAACCGCCCATTGAAACCGATTCCTGATTGCAATCTCCAGTATGGAATAAGCCCACTTCACGCCTGGATTCGCTTCCTCGAATTTTGCCTACACCTTAGCTACAGAAATGTAGACGGAATTAAAACATGGCGTGTGAAAGGTGGAGATAAAAACCCTCAATTGAACGAAAGAAAGCGGAAGATTCAGGAAGCGTTGTGGGAGAAACTTTCTCTAAGGGTTGACTTTCCAAAACCTGGAGGTGCAGGTTCATCCAATGATGGAAATACGGCAAGAAGAGCCTTCAGTATTGAAAATCAAGTGGTATTCGCCGAGATCCTCGGAATAGAGTTGTGGCTAGTGCAAGATTTGCATGTAATCTTGTGTGTAATCTCGTCGTCTCTTCCGGTTGATTCTAAGAAATTTGGCGAATTTTGTCGACCACTTGCTGATAGGTATGTTAAAGCTTATCCATGGTTTTATATGCCAGCCACCCTCCACAAGATATTAATCCATGGGGAACAGATTATTTCTCGATCTGCTTTGCCAATGGGAATGTTGAGTGAACAGGCTGGAGAGTCCAGAAATAAACTGTATCGACAAGACCGTGAGATGCATGCTCGTAAAACAAGTCGGAAAGAAAACTTGTTAGATGTCTTCAATCGGGCTATGGACTCTTCCGATCCATTCATTTCTGAACTTTCTATGAGTCAAAGGCGAGAAAAGAGTAAGAAATTGCCACTGCCATCGGCAGCCATTGCCCTTCTTCACCCCCAGACGACCCGAATCCTGAACTTCCTGCCAGGCAACTCTATTCAGAGGAAGATGACGATTCTGAAATTGAATCTTTTAAGGAAGTTGACGGAGCTTTGGATGATGTTGAACTTGTTACTGAACAAATTGAAGCAGACGAATAAACTTCTATATTTTTGTTCTTGGTCAAATGAAGACTAGTGGGCCGATTACCACTTTAAAAACAGGGACCTTCGGGTCGGATATTACAGCTGTGTCCCTGATGAGGCCAGAGCAGGCCGAAACCCGAAAAACATTGCTCTATTTAATACAATGGAAGTATATTGTACTACGGAGAAATGCTTTTGTTTATTCCAATGGAAGAAACCATTTTTAAACTTTCGACATGATTTGTCGCAAGAATAAGTCGTCAACATGAGTCAAAATTAATTTACATGTTGGTATCTTAAGTTGTGGAGCACGAGTTTTGAGTTTGAAACCAATATCTACATTTTCAAAGTTGGACATTAAAAGGTCGATTTCTATCGAAATGGCGTGTCGACATGATCAAAAGTGTTTGCATATGTACTTTGGAGGGCAGGGGAGTATTAGTTTTAAATTTCACCTCTCTAGCTCCATGTCGAAATTTCGACACGTCGACATGCTTCCCTGACGACATGGGTCAATTTCACCTGCGACGCACTTTTTAGACCTGGCTGAAGCTAGATATCGATTTTTACTGCGATACGACATGTCAAATTTCACCCTTTTTGGACAATTTCGCCATGAATGTTCCCAATGTTCCCGGGCTTATAGCTTGGAAAGGGGCAGAATCAAGATCTCCGTTTTTCTTTGAATTCGTTAAGATCAGTGGGGACTACAATTTACAATAATTTTCAGAGTATTGTACTTGCCCCTTTCGGAGAACCACGCCCCTAAAGTCGTCGCATTTTGACTGTCGCCGAGTTTCGCCATTGGATATCTTTGTTGTTTGTGAACGGATTTAGATGAAATTTTTACTGCAGATGTACCATCGCATGAGCTACAACTTTTGATATGTCATTTGGCTCTAACCCTACCAGGAAAAAACCACACCCAAAGTGGGCGTGGCTCGTCAATTTTTTTATATGTTTGGCCTTCACCCTCAACAACTCGGAGTACGCAAAAATTTCATTAAAAAAGTGCTCGTGGAATTGTTTCCGATAATTTTGGATTATTTCGCTCTGTGGAGTAAGGTGAGAAACTCGAATAAAATTTATGCATGTTAAAGAAGGCGAGGGAACGTCCATACATGACGTCATCAAAACCCAGGGCGATTTTTTTTACCAGACAACCCCACCATTCCTGTTAAGCTTCACAAGAGTAAGATAAGCGACCAAAACCCAGTCACCAATATTTTTGAGGACGTAATATATGGACGTTCCCCAGCACACTCTGCATGCTTCAGAGAGGAAAGTTTCCTGTCATATTTCCTGCCTTTTTTGTTGTCGGTGTATCTATAATGTATGAAATAATTTCATACATTGCAATTTTTTATATGAATTTCTTTTTAATTTGCAAAACATGTTAAAATTGTGAAAAATATGTATTGGACTTGCGAAAAGGCACCACCGGGACAAGACCAGGCCCGTAAATTTCACGGTACCGCTCAAATAAAATGTAATAAAGTAAATTAAAACATTTTTTTGTAAATTTCTAATCGCAAGATTTATAAAAGTAATGATTTATTTTTGGTAGGAATGCTACTTTATGTTCTGAAAATGAATACTCGAACGGTTTGAGATTATGTAAAATTTCTAATTGTCATAATTTTCCTCGTCATTATCGTCCAGTTTGAGTGGATCTTCATCATCCCCACTGTGACCATCTTCCGATGAGGAATAGCCGTGGAAAGTGAGCATTTTAAAATCGTGGTGTTCACTTTCCATGTCGCTGTGGCTCTCCTGCTCGGACTTTATCTCGCTGAGTGGCGACAAATCTGGGTCATTGTCAAGGTCTAGGTCACCGTGCGATTCTTCGTCTTCAGACTTGATCTCAACTTTTGTGTCGTATTTGGTCATTTCATCTGCGACGTCGTCGTCGTCCCCTTCGGAGGAAAGGACATCTCGAATGACGCAGTCTTCCTCCTTTATTTCAATTTCCTCATCTGGAATATGCTCAATTTTGAGGCGTTTTGAACGGGTCTTTCTGCGGGAAGGTGACGATCGGCGAGGGCCACTAGTAGACCTGAAAAATGAAAAATACAAGTAAGGTTATTATAAAGCTGGTCGAAATTGTTGAATTTCACGCAGTTAATTAGGAATCTGTGTTACAAAAATTCACCCCAAAATTGCATACAATTCCCAACTTTTAATTAAAAAAGACTCATCCACACTCTTAGAAATTGGGTTAAGATTATAACCAAAATGTAAACGTATATGACTCTACCGCCGTGGTTATGACTTTGTGACCAACAGGTTATAAATTTATTAGATCTGGTGCCAATTTAATACCTAGTCGGTGAAACTTTATAACTAGTCGGGGACAATTGTAACCACTCGATGACAAATTTATAACCACGGCGGTAGAGTCGCATATGTTTACTTTTTGGTTAAAATCGTAAAACCCTATTTCTAAGAGTGTAGGCATTACGCTTTTTTTAAAAAAAGGGTTTACACCCTCAAAAACCGAAACCGTGATTTTTGCATGGAATACTTACACTTTGTCGTCCTTATCGACAGCCTTCTTCTCCCCCCGCGCTTGTTTTCTCAGCGCGTGGTATGTTTTCTGCCTCGTTGAGTTGCTCTCCTTGGGCACCGCGTGTTCCTTGGTCAAATGGCACCTCAACCCTTTCGGCGTGGCGAACAGGGCGGGACAATGGGAACACGTGAGCGTGTAGTCCCTACATGGTCGGTGCTTCTTCAAATGGTGGGTGAGACCAGTTTTGAGCGGGTAGCTCACGTGGCAGATGTCACACGTGAAGGGTTGCGCTCCAGGTGGCGCTTGGGTTTTCCTTCGCTCGTTGTACCTGCGACACCGCTCGGCCGTGGTGACCCGGGGGACGCCATGTTCCGCGGTGAGGTGTCTGCGCAGGATGTGGGGGCAGGCGAAGAGCATGGGGCAGTGGGGGCACGTGAGGGTGAAGTCCGCGCGGGGCCGGTGGTTCTTGAGGTGTTTCGTGAGGTCGTTGTTGATGAGGAAGCGCGCCTGGCAAATGTCGCACTTGATGGGGCGCTCGGCGCGGATTTTGAATTTGTGAAGGCGACGGATGTGATCTTGCAGGTTGGGGTGCGTCGTGAAGAAGCGGGAGGAGCAGGACGGATCTGGAAAATAAAGGAGCATAAATGTTTGTAAATAAAATATCAGGGTTTAAGCGTAATTTGAAGCAAAAACTACAGTTTGGTCATTTGAATTAGACTTTAGAGACTCAATTTTAAAATTTTCTGGTAACTAAGAAAACTATGTAAGAAAAACCTACTCCAAGCAACTTTGCGGGGACTTTTAAGATAGCATTAATACCATCTTGGTAGTTAATTTTGTCGTGGTATGATGAACTTCCGTGGGGATCCTGGCCAGGCGGAGGAGAATTTGCGGTGGTTGCCAAAAGGTATATACCTTTTCACATTCATTTGTTCATAGCGAATGGATAAAATATTCATTTATTACTGAATAACTTTATGAATAATGAGTTAGCATTTTTTAAATTTTGAATGAAAGGTATTTAATTCAGTTTGGTTAAATAAAAATTTAATCACTTGGTATTCGTGATCAAGTAATTAATAATTTTACTCCATACCTCCTTAATAAGGATTAATTAAGAGATCCATCTCAGTAGACGAAGATAAAATGAATAAGGAATGAAGAACGAATAAATGTGGATTTTCAAATTTTGAGTAAATGAATAATTAATGGATATTTTTCCAACGAAGTTCTCACATAATTTAATGGATTATGAGTGATTAAATGTTTTTGAACAGGTAAACTATCAAGATACAAAGGATAAATTGATTTTACTTAATTTCGATATGTTCTTGGATAAATAGTCTGAAAAGGGTCAGGACGTTACACTTAAAACTTGCGAGAACCATATCAAGCAAAATTTCGCGCGAGGGAATTAATCTAAATTCACGTGACTATTCTGCCTACACCCCTATCGCAGCGTGGTCCTCGTTTCATAAAGATCTTGTAGAATCAAACATCCCGTTGAGCCAGAGGCGTATCCCGCCAACTTTTGGGGAAAGTAAGGACTTCATCCCCTTCAATCAGAATGCACTTGCCCTCACACAATTCTCCTTTGTCGGTTATCCCATCCTATTTCCGGAACGGTTTGGAATTTTCCGCCCAAGCGAGGATGATCTCTGGGCTTTCAACCATTTTTGGGCCATCCTCGGATATGTTTTGGGCCTTGAAGACAAGTACAACATTGCACTCCAACCAGACCTAAAGTCGGTGAGGGAAGTTTACCTCGAAATATTTGAGAGGTACACAATTGCAGCAGGGTTCCACTGGTGGCCGGGTGCTGTATGTCTGGTGGATAGTATTTTCCAGGTTTGTACACTTTATAAGAATTGTTATTGGTGATAGACATGACTCTACTGGCTCTGGTGACCATAAGTTTTACTAAATGGCCGGTTTTGACAAGGGAACTTGTCCAACAATGCGATGGTGTGAATTGTAACCCTCCGATTTGGTTGAAATTTTGAAATTATGTGGTCCATGTCAACACAAACAACGTTTCTTCAGGCAGTTTGTGCGATGGTCAGGATTTGGCAAAATATTTAAGGCCAAAGTTGATAAACGGGCGATTTTTACCACGCGGAGGAAGCAAACTCAACTTCAATTCTTTCGCCGTGCTAAAAATCTCACATTTTTCAACTTTGCCCTAAAATATTTTTATAAATTCTGCTCATCGCACAAACTGCCTGAAGAAACGTTGGTTATATTGACATGGACCACATAATTTCGAAATTTCAACCAAATCGGAGGGTTACACTTCACACCATCGCATTGTAAGCTATGATGTCAAACATGAGGAATGATGTGGTACTCATCTTTCCATTTGAATGGTCCCTTGGTGGGAAAATATTGGGTCAAATTTAAAGTGCCCAACCAAAATTTATTTTCTTCCAACCAAAACCAATAATTTTCGCAACGCTAAAATCTGCAACCAATCAATTTTTTGTCCAACCAAAACGTAAAACAATACAACTAAATACTTAGATATACACATAATTAACTGAATTCAAATGTCCCAGCCATAAAATTTCAAAGAGTGTAAATGATGGAGGAAGCGACAATAAAAATGGATCGTACTATCTGTTAATAAAATACTTATGCTTTCTGTTTATTAATTAATGCAGGGTCTGGAAAGGATTACTTTGCTAGGGACACCAAACTTTCTGCTGTATCGAATATTGCGCGATGTTTTTGACGTGGCTGGTCCAAATATGTGGAAATGTCTAACGATTAGAGAAAAGCTTAACAGCTCGTTTGCAGACCATGTGTTTCTTCCAATTCTGTTAAAGTATCAAGTTACCAGAAAACTCTGTACGTTCGTCATACTTAATTTTGTACACATTATTAACTTGTTTTACAAATATTTTTAATCAAGTACGCAGAAACATATGAATAAAAAGATAGTTTTAAAAAAGTGTACTTTGTACTAAGCTAAATCCTGCGAAGAATGTTTGCTATGACACGTGAGCAACACGTGAGTGAAAAATTTCTTGCTTTTGCCTAAAGTACCTGGCAAATTAAACCATTTGCAAACACGATAGTTTGAAGTTAAATCGTTTTTAAAATACGTTTATTGTTCATTCAAACAATACTTTTATTGTCAAATGTTATTTATTACAAGCTTTAAGAATATGTATGTATGTAGTATGGAAGGGAGCAGTCCAAATTTTTATAATTTTATTGCTAATATCCATACGCCCCGCCATAGCGGACGTCGATATCGTCCAGCTGAATCTCGCTCTCGGCCATGTGCAGGATACACTTGAACTCGTCGATGAGGTAGCGGTCACAAAGTAGCATCCAGTACGCATGACCGTCCATCCATCCACGCATAATGTTGACATAGTCGGTCATCCCGTCTCGACCCGGGTGGTCCTTGTATCTCTCCAAAAGGTCGGGGTACATGGCCTCGAAATCGATGCAGATTTGGTTCGTATCGTCAACCACTGACTGGAAGCATTTGGCAAAATCTCCGCCATATTCGCCATTAAGGTAGCGAAGGTTGGCCTGCAAAGTTGTCAAAAAACTGTCTTTAGATACACGAATATTTCAGAATATTTACGAATTAAAGGAGTAGTAGAATTTAAATTATTTAAACAAAATATAGACTTTAACCCTTTCACGAGTGTCATTGACTGCAAGAAAATGCATTAATTCGAGTTCGAATTGAAAAATCTGAAAACTGAAAAATCAAAAACTTAACATTTCGTTAGATTCGGAAACATCCAAGTTTTTGGTCAGAAAATTTTCAAAATTAGCATTGTTTTGGCAAAGGAGAAATCCCTCAATATTACAAGAAATTTTAAAAGAAAGCGGCGAAGAGAAAATGGTGAAAATCAATGCCCTAGAAAATACAATTGTCTTCCTTCCGGCCATGACCACGATTTTTCAGGACGACTTTTGTCTTACTCCCGAATTGAACCATTTCTAACAACAGGACAATTGTCTTAGCTACGAGTTAAAGGGTTAAACTTGCCGCGTTGAAAGGTTCGCCAGCTAGCACTTCACGCCTCACGGACTAAAGGTCATTCACAAAAACGACATGCACGGCACACATTTTTCTAAGCTTGATAAATAGGTCGTCATCCCGAATGTCTTGGGGGACCTTGACACCCCGAACGAAAGAGACCATCTCGAGGCATGGATAGATTCCGACCGAGTCCCGCCGAACGTCGACGTATTCCTCAAACTTGACCTTCTTCCCTTCAGAACGTGCCTTTCGAAGTTCGGCTTCGGGCGTGAGAGCTCTCGTGTAAGCGAGAAACTCCTCAATCGCGTAAAACCCAGAATTATCGGGTTTCGTGATTTGTCCCCTGAGTTCGGTGATCATATGAGTGAGCGGGGTGTAGTCGGGGAAGAGACGGTTGAATTTGGCGGGTTCTATTCCAAACGTAGTCGCCACGTCGGACACGGACGCGCCACGCATGACAACATTGAAGTTGTCGGCAACCTTTCCAACGATGGAGGCAGGAACCTCTTTGAAAAGAGAGTGATTGTCGACGGTGTCATCTAAATAGATAAGTTTTGAAATATATTTGGTTACGTAATTGTTTAAAAATATTAAAGATATGTGGGAGATGTGCGAAAAGGATGTGATTGGTTTTTGAAGAAAAGACTTAGTTTAAAATTTCTTTTGAATTGGCAAAATTCAATATTGTGAGTTTAGTTCATCCACAATAGCTAGATTTTCCAGGGCCATTGGAGCAACAAAAAGCTGAGGGCCTCCACGGGAAATATCTCAATAAATAAATAAAATAAAAAAAATAAAAACGAAAATATGTAAGTTCATATTTTTTTAAAGTGTTATTTGTTATTGCTGTCGAAATAATTTATTTTTGAAGAATCTCGAAAACAGCGTACAGTTTGACGTGCAATAAAAACGTTATCCTCAGAACCTACCAATAAATAGGAACGTCCCCATCATCAGTGTGAACGGGGCGACGTCATCCATCGACGAGCCCAAAGCTGTTAACGCACACAGTGTCGATATTCCCGTCTTCAACCAGTTCCCGTTCGCCCACTTTTCTCTAAAACCATACGACGCAGACTGTTTCGCGAACAGGTCTTCGGACCTCTTGACGGCCTCGTAGTACAAATCTGTCCGGGGGAATTGTCCCCACGGGAGGTACTGGAGCAGCTCGCAGTCTGGAATGACGAGGTCTTCTTTCGTTGGCGACCAGAAATTGGGCGTCGTCCCGTGACTCGTCCATAACGTCCAGGGAACACCTTGCAAATTTTAGAATACTTTAGTCTGACAATGGAGGTCTCCCAACGTATGCTGAAAGATTTGGACCAAACTAGCGTCAATCGATCACCAATATAATTAGTATGAAATTTGCAAATGGCACTATCTGTCAGTGGTCAAGTTTTGCGGAGATATTTACATAAAAAGGGGAGGTAAACGCACCCCCACAGCTTGCAAATTTTCCATTTTCCAAATTTGCCTCGCATTTTTCCCGCTTTGGATGCAAATATCTCCGCGAAACCTGCGCATTGGCAGATAGTTCCACTTGCAAATTTCATACTAATTATATTCGTGATCGATTGACGCTAGTTTGGTCAACATCTGTGGGCATACGCTAGGAGACCTCCATTGTAAGTGGGGATTCATCTAATTAAGTGTCAACTACTAGCCAATTAAGTGGCTCTAAAATCATAATTAGTGCAAATTTCAGCCGGTGGGAGGTCTCATGTATTTAATCGAGTGGCAAATTTCAGCTTCATAAGTGGGGCGCTAAATTACCTTGCACCGCTTTGTGGAATTTCTGCGCACTCTTCCCGTTCTTTAAATTGTAGATGGAGCCCATGGCGATGGGGTGGACGACTTCGTACTTTGAAGTGTCGCCCGTTTTAAAGACGACCCTGCCCAGCCGGGTAAGATAAGCGTCGGCAT